CACACACACACACACACACACACACACACACACACACACACACACACACACGAGTCGCGCGCAACGGCAGCGACTGACGCACGAGACATTCTCTTTTCCTCGGAAAGCCCCATTTGCCTCTGCGCTCGCCCAATCGCTGGATGCCCTCGGCTCATCAATCGCTGCGACGCTTCCTCCGTCTCATCAGCCCGCGCGCACCGAGGACACCCCCGCGTCTCCGCCATGACTCCGTGTCCGGGCACAGCGCGGAGGCAGCGACGCTTGAAATGAGCTTGGACTTCACATCGCCTTGACGCACGATCAAAGCAGAATCCTCTGGCGTTTTGCGTAACGGCTCGGCGCGTTCAGGAAACCATGCAGGACACGCCGACAGACAGCCAGACTCCCGCTCCGTCCAGGGCGTCGTCGTTTTTCATCGACAATCTACTGGGGACGGGGCAGGATGATGGGCAGGATGCTGCGTCCAGCAGCAGCCGGACGGATGCCGGGGCAGAGACCGCTTCCGACGGGCGAGACTTAATGGCACATCCCACCGAGCAGAGCGCTCCGGAGCCCGGCTACTGCAGCTCTGTGGTCCGGTCCTCATACAGACACTCACCGCTGCTGTGGCACCACGGGGGGTCTCTGGAAACTACCTGCAGTGAGTACAGATTACTTGTTTTTTAATGTGGTATTAAATAAAGCTTGTATTACTAGATTATTTGATCATAAATGAATCATGGAATGAAATTAATTTTACGGAAAATAACTGTTCTGTTTCATTTGCGAGCTGCGTATTGTTACTAACTACAAGATAAATGGTTTACATTAGTCGCCAGCATCGTTTGGTCCTTTGATCAGGCCATGTGTTTGTTGAGTTAATAAAGACAGGACGCGTCTCAGGTTGCATTTCCTGCCATTAATTGAAATCTAAGGTGTTCAGTGACGTGTGGAGCCACGGCTCGAAGCCTCTTTCTTCTAGTTTATCAACTCTGATCTCAAACAGCCATAAAACCGATGCGCGCTCCACTTTAAAAGCCTTTTAGCCTTTTACCAAACCTTTACACGGACTCCCAGGCGCAAAACATTAAAGTGCGTCATCATCATTAACCAAAAATTAATTCCTTTGTGTTGCTTCAACTCATGATTCCCTTTCATGGTGAGATTCATAACACAGATTGGGGATTATACGTGCATGGATCACGCTCAAATGCTCAGAGAACACATAAAAAAAAAAGCATCAGGAGCGCAGTGCGCGTCCACATGACGCCTTTACGCACATGTAGTGCCATTTTTACCACTGACACCGTCATAATAAAACGCCCCTCCCTCTGATGTTTTCAGTCATTTTGATTTCATCCACAAAAACCTTAAAGTGGAATCTTCTCATAAATAATAATGAGATTTTGTTCTTTAATCCAACACAAATGATCCCAAGTTTAGAGGAGCTTATTCCCTGCAATACATTCTATAAC